TATATATATATATATATATATATATATCTTTCTTCTCTCGCTCACTCTCCGTCCATCTCTCACAATCATAATAATAAATGAAAACTCTCTCTCTCTCTCTCTCTCTCTCTCTCTCTCTCTCTCTCTCTCTCTCTCGTGCGAGCTCTTAGTCTCATTGATTTGGCTACCTTAGGGCTGCGTTCCCCGCGCCCACGCAGTAGGCAATGGGTGAAGATTCAAAAGTTCTCCACTGCAGTGGGAAGCCCGCCGAGTCGAAGTGGGCTGACTGGGGGCAAGGGTGTAGCCATGGTGGTGCCGTTCTCCACCTGGGCCGCGTCGTTCCATTTTCTGCCTGGGCCGTGCCGTTCCACCTTTTCGAAAATTTGAAGGACCGTGGCGTCCTACAGAGAGCTACAGGTCCTCAGCAAGCAACAACTGCCCGGCCCTCTAAAATTGCCTGCCCTACAAATTCACCACCCTTCCGAAGACCATTGGGCCGATAGGAACGACCGGTATAACGAAGGGCGACGAAATGACTAAGGGGTTAAAACGCAGCCCTGACGGGCTGCAAACTCAAGGGGGAAAAACGCAACCCTGACGGGCTGCGGACTGGCCCATTACTTGTGCCTGTGTTGCTCTGTAATTTGTGGGGAAGAGGGGTTCAATTGGATAGTGGGATAGTATGCGCTTAGAGCAGGAGCGGCACAGGCCGCGAATCGCCGGTCAATTTCAATCAAGTCTATAAGTGATCCTGTCGCAGCAGCTCGTTTTTGTGCCGCGGCAACTGCCGCTTGGAATTTCCGGTGCTCCACCAGCTCTCACTGCCTACTACCTACTCTACCTACTACCCGAGCGTGGCGTCTAACTGAATGGGCCCCTACCGATAGTGGGTCTTTCACTATGGCCTCAGTCATCGTGGCGGCCCCATGTTAGCAGGCTATCAGCCACCCCCTCCAACACGCAGTCCCTTTATCCCTCTTTTCTGGGCGGGAAGTGGTTCTTGATTGATTGGAACAATCTGTCTGTTCGACGCTTTGTATTCTTCTGCATCTGCTTTGCTCTTGCTTGCATCCACTTTTCTCCTCTATCTGTCGACCACGTGGGCTCCTATCTCCTCCGCTCCGTTTGGTTGTATCTTCTTCGCTCCGTCTGGTTCTTTCGCCCCTCCTTTTAGCTCATCAAGTTTGCCGCTTTTGTGCTGATGCTTCGCCGGTGTTCAATACCGTTTCGGACGGTGTGCGGCTATGAGGCGTTCTGTGGGTCGATCGGACTAGGTTTGTTGGCCGCTGGGTAGTTCTCTCACACATTTCTTGGCGGGAAATCTGGCGGGAAATCTGAGCGTTGTACGTCGGTGGGGTGATCAATCTCGGTGGTACCCTGGTGGTGGATGGTGGAGGTCTTAGTGTTGGGAACTTGCATGCTGTGTGCCTCGCGGGGATTGACAAACTGACGAGAAGTGGCGCGGCCTTCGCTCGCGGGTGGGGGGCTCTGAACGCCATAGCCAGAGCTTGTGAGGACCCATTGTTCGTCGGTCAAGATGGCAGGCTATGCAGGTGCACCATATTATGGAGACGGTAGTGGAGGTGGGGGCGGAGCTCCTTATGGTGGAGGGCCTCCTGGAGCGCCTCCTGGAGCGCCTCCCGGGCCAGCCCCAGGAGCGCCATCGCCGTATGGTGCCCCAAATCCGTACGGACAGGGTGGTCCCGCTCCCGTGATGCAGCCGCCGCCGTACGGACCAATGGCTGGGACGCCGCCGCCGCAGTACGCAGCGGCGCCGCCGCCGCCGGGCGCGTACGGTCAACCAGGTCAGCAGTATGGTCCCGGTCCACAGGGTGCACCTGGTCCACCTGCTGTTCCTCAAGGGCCGGTTCCTGGACTGCAACAAGGACAGCTTCCTCATCAAGGACCTCCTCCGCCGTCTAATCAACATCAACAAGTGCCGCATCAAGCGCCTGTGAATCAAGGTGCTCAAGCTGCTCCTCCACAGTTTGCCACTGGTGGCGTTCAGTCGGGTTTCACTGGTGGTGGTACCCCGACTGTTGCTAGTGGGGGGGGAGGAGGCGCACCGCAAGGGAGCAACGCACCGGGTCAGACTGGTGGTGCGGCAGCGGGAGCTCCGAGTTCTGGTCAAGGGTACGGTAGTGGTGAGTTCTTGCAGACTCGTGGATTACCCCTCTGTTTTTTTTGGCGTCGAATTTGTGAACATTGATTAGTCTTGATTATTATGTCCACAGTTTTTAGACGGCTGTCTTTATGACCCCTCTCTTGTGCTCGACTCTCTTTTTGACATCACATGTTGCAGTGGAGACGGTTATCTTTATTATGTTCATTACAACCCCTCTCTGTCGTATCAATCAATGCTCCTGTCTGCGCTTTGGTCGTTGAGGGAGTGACAGTATCCGACTGAGAGAAAGAGAGAAAGGTGGCAAAGATGGATGAAGGCGAAGGAGGTACCGACATAGGAGAGGAAAGGGTGGACGTCGGTAGAGGGAGGAAAGGCTAAAGAGCACGTGAAGGGGAAAAGGCCAAAGACCAAGGAGATATGCAGCGAGGTTAGGGGAGGAAGCGGTATGGGCTGAGAAGGCGTTGGCAAGAGAGCAGGAGAAAAACAAGGTAAGAGTGGAAGTATTGTGGGGGGGTGGGGGGTAAGGGTAAGGATGGTAAGGGTATCTATAAGAGAGCGCAGAGAGGTAGGGAGAGGGGTTAATGGAGGAAGCGGTAGGCGCCGAGAAGGCGTTGGTGAGAGAGCAGGAGAACAAGAAGGTGAGAGTGGAAGTGTGGGGGGGAGGGGATAAGGGAAAGTATGGGAAGGGTATCTGTAAGAGAGAGCGCAGAGGGGTAGGGAGAGGGGTCGAGGGGAAAGGAGTATATGGACGGACGTACGGTGGAGAAGCGAGTGGGGAGAAAGCGATGATCGAAAAGGGAAGAGGCAGCATGGGCGAACGGCTTAATACACACACACACACACAGAGAGAGAGAGAGAGAGAGAGAGAGAGAGAGAGAGAGAGAGAGAGAGAGAGAGAGAGAGAGAGAGAGAGAGAGAGNAGAGAGAGAGAGAGAGAGAGAGAGAGAGAGAGAGAGAGAGAGAGAGAGAGAGAGAGAGGAAACAATCAATTTCCAGGTGGATATATTCTCCTGTCGCAAAGCTACCACAAAGAGCGCGTTAGGAAACAAAGAGTGCGAAACGAACAGCAGAAAAGGGATCGTACCCTAATAGTATTTCGTCTTCCTTTCTCTCTCTCTCTCTTTGCTCTTTCTATTACGAGTTGCAAGATTCTGTGCATATGTTTTTTTGGTTTGACGGCAAGTGTTGTGTTTGCACTCCCGTCTGCTTACCAGAAGCATGCTTGCCCTTCGTCGAGATAAGACGCATCACCAGAGTACGGGAAGAAGGGGTTTAGGGAAGGGAGAGAGAGAGAGAGAGAGAGAGAGAGAGAGAGAGAGAGAGAGAGAGAGAGAGAGAGAGAGAGAGAGAGAGAGTTCTTACATGGTTTATAAACCTGCAGGTGGATATAGTGGGCCGCCGAGCGGAGGCCCTTCCAGCGGTGGTTATGGAGGCGGTCGAGGAGGAGGCAGTGGAAGCAACACAGGGGGAGGCGGAGTGGGAGGCTCCTCGTCCTATCGTGGTTCAGAAAGGGATGGCGACTGGCTTTGCCCAAATCCGAGGTATGACGACAATGGCTTCTTGTTTTCTCTGCTTTTCGCCGTTGCCCTCGCTTTTGTGCCCGTGTCTTCTTCTTTTGCCCTTTTCTGCGTTTCCGCCCCCTTTTTTGCGCTACATGGTCAGTCAAGGGGCTCCTCCTGATGACACCATTCCAATAGTACGGCACCCCCTTGACAAGCTCCAGTAATGTATGGATGTATGTGATGTCGCACACCCACCGTTATCTTCTAAGCTGCACCACGTGGGTGTGCGACATCATCGTTATTCCCTTGCCCTGCAATTGCCCAGTGATTGTACCCGTTTAGTTGGGACTTTTGTGCCTTTGTGATTGTACCTTTGTGCCCTGCAATTGCCCTTTGGTACCCGTTTAGTTGGGACTTTTGTGCCTTTGTGATTGTATCTTTGTGCCCTGCAATTGCCCTTTGGTACCCGTTTAGTTGGGACTTTTGTGCCTTTGTGATTGTACTTTTGTGCTCTGCAATTGCCCAGGGAAAGAGATGAAAGATCCGAGGTTTATACTACGGTCGTGAAGGGGGGTTCTCAATTCAAATTAGGGACTTAAAGAGGGTACCCACGTTTCAGCTGCTAGCTCTGTCATTGCAGAATGGTCCTAACTCTGCAACTGAATGTGAATCGAGGGGTTGGTTTTGGGGTTTCAAGGGGTCCCAAGGGTTAATTGGGATTCACCGTGCCGCGGAAGAAGATTTGATGGTATGGTGCGTTGCGTGCAGTCAATCAATCTACTACTCGCAGTGAAGCCCTAATCAGGAAGCCGCCGAAAGGCGGCCCCGATGAGGAAAGTGAAAGAAAAAAACAAAAAGAAGTTTTCTTTCTCGATCACCATATATGGTTTTTGTTGATGTACAAAAAGTGCAAAAGACACTTGATGAGGTGCTTTAAAGCAGAGGGTGTAGTTAGTGTCTGTCTATGGTGTTTTGTTGTGAAGTACAAGATGGCGGCGCCGCTCTCTCCCAAGCTTTGATTCTTATCAGTCATATGGTTGTGCCGCGGCGAAATTAGGGGTCTTTGCTCGGGTATATACCGTGGAACAGAATGCGTCGTTTATGTGTGGATGAGGAGGGAGGGAGGGGGATGCGGGGGGATGCAGAGCGGAGGCCGTGTTGAAAGCGGCGACGTGTTTGCTTGCCTTAGGAGGTGGATGTAAAGGAGGTTATTATCGTCATTTTTTAATGGCAAGGAGAAGAGTACAGGGACGATGATTTTAGCGACGTGATTAGCGTCATTTTAATGACGGTAAAGATGGGAGGTGGAGAAGAGAAAAGCAGATAATGGAAGGGGGGTGATTGTGCGCTAATGACTAAGGGGGGGGAAAGATGATTAGCGGCATTTAAATGGGTTGAGGGGGAGAGGGCAGGTATGTCCAAGTAAAAGACTCCAGTATGAAAGGAGGGGGGTATTGAAAAGTGTGAGGGGCGCTCTGCTGGGATCGATGAATATGATCGAAAGCGAACGAGAAGCAAAAGTAGACGGTGCGAGTCTGAAGAATGACAACTGTGTCAGTGAAGAGGGGGTTGATGTGGGGCACTTGGTCAGGCGCAGGGGAAAGAGGAGGGAGGGAGGGTGATTCATGCGCAAGTCGGCAATCTGCGGCATTGAACTGGTCGTAGTAAGTGTGCGAATGCCAGAGGTACCTTCTTACCCCGAATAGAACGTACAGTCATTATTCGCTGCATCTGGACAGAAAGGTGAGCCAAATACGGCTGCATCTGGGCAGGAAAAGGTGAGCCAAAATACGGAATGCATCTGGACAGAAAGGTGAGCCAAATACGTTCTATTTGGGTGAAGACGGTAATGAAGGCGTTGGTTGCGGATGCTAGGGCATTGAGATCTGGCTCTGTCTCCGTCACAACCATATCTGCCCTTCGTTCATTTTTCGATGCATCTGGACAGAAAGGTGAGCCAAATGCGCAATTGTCACTCTTCTATATAATGATGTAAAGAACCTCTCCGCTCTTTCGTTGGATCCCTTCCTCCTTCTCTGCGTCTCATCATGTCCATAGACAGCCGTTTGTCATTTCTCTCTAACTTCCTCCTCTTCCACCCGCGGGGCCCCCTACCGCCTCCCCCCTCTTTCCCGCCCCCTGCCCGTTTCCTTCCCGGCGTTTTTGTAAGTCAGTTTGCGCCCATTAGGTACGCTGCCATCATCATTACTTTGCGTCCACTAGGTACGCTGACATCATCCTTTCGATTGGGCTTGGCTGTGGCAAGAATAGGCGTAGTAAGGAAAGGAAGATTTGGGGAAAGGAGGGGGAGAGGACTAAATTGCACGCAGCAAAATGAGCGTAAGGAAAAGGAAAACAGCGTGAAGGACTATATGATTGAAAGGAAATTATGGCGCGCGTAAATCTAGAAACGGTTCAGAAAAAAAACAAAACCGGTCCAGAATAAAAAAGGAAAGAAAGAAAAACAGGAAATTATGAAGGGGTTAAGCACTGCTTGGATCTGGAAAAGACCCGAAGATGACAAAGGGAAAATGTCATACTACTGTAGTAATAGAGAGAATCAGCCAAGCAGTGTGCGTGTCGGAAACAGTCGGGAAGTAGGGGGAAGTAGGGGAAAAGGGGGCTACGGGGATGTAGGGTGTTAAATGTGTGTTATGGGTAATGGATGGAGTTGTCCTCTGAGGTGGAGAAGTAGGAGAAGTAGGGTGTACATTGTTTGAATCGGATATGCGGATTCCTGTCCGTTAGAGGATGATCCGCTTTCAGTAATGGACAGGCATGGCGTATGATTCGTGATGGCGGTTGGGCGCGGCCGCCGGGGGAAGTAGGGGGAAGTAGGGGGAAGTAGGGGAAAAGGGGGCTACGGGGACGCATTGTGTTTTCGATAATTGCTTGTATTTGTTTTTCCAATAGGAGGGGAAGAACGAAAAGAAGGGAGTTTCTCTGTGTCTGTCGACTGCTACACATACAAGGAGAGGTGCTGTCGTTGATTTCTTTTGCCTCTTTATCTTTTTTTTTTTTTTTTTTTTTTTGCCTGTCTTTCTCATCTGCGCTCTACGTCCTCAATATATTGTATTTATATTGCAGCGCATTACACATTACCACTACCTTCTTCCCCCGAATACAACGTACGGTTATTATAGCTGTATTTAGACTTAAAGATAGGCCAGATTTGGCTATAATGACCGTACGTTGTATTCGGGGGAAGAAGGTAGCCGCAGTGCTCTTTTTTTTTTTTTTTTTGTTAATATGTGACTATGTTATATGTTTGCCTCTTGACGAGTCGGTGGAACTCCGCGATGAAACATATGTTTTCTGTCACTGCCCGTCGTTTGTGGTCCTCTTCTCCCTTTGTTGTATCTACGGTTCTCTTTGACGACATATCTTTGCATGATATCTAGATTAACACTATGAAAAGAAAAAAAAGGTATTACTACAACTAGTGTTCTGCAGCTGTCGTACACTAGCTGTCCTTTCTCTTTTCTTATCTTTTATCTCTCCTTGTGTTTTTTTTTTTTCCGCCCGTTTTTGCTCAAAAGGGTGACGTCCTTGAGATATCATCGTTGAACTGACGGGCCGCAGGTAGTTCAGAATTACCGTGGGTGTTTTTTTCATCTGATCGCATCTCTATTCGATCTTGAGATATCTCTCCTCTGTATTTGAACAGTTCATGTGTGTAGCAACTGAGAGCTACCGTCTTCAGCCGAATAGAACGCCCGGTAATTATCGCCAGTATCTGGACTGGAAGTTGCCCCAAATTCAGGAGCTACAATGACCGGGCGTTCTATTCGGGTGAAGAGGGTAGGGCAGTCGGTGCTCGTCTTCTGTTCGCTTTTCGCCGGTAGTCCTTCGTGCTCTTGCTGTTTGTCTTCGTTGTGGGGACCACCTTCATGCATTTTGCCCCTCTTAGTCTCTGTCATCTTTCTTCTTCGGGTTCTTGGTTAAGGTCCTCATTATCCGCATCCATTCTCTCCTTTTTTATTCTATTTGAGTCTCTTTTCTTATCGGTTCATGTTACTTTCTGAGCAGTATTACTACAGTCATCTTTCGCTGATGCTCGATGATAAGCCGGCCGCCGCGTGTTTGTGATTGTGTTGCGGGTTCAAGTCCATCTGAATACAGTCGGCCGTCTTTTGCGTCCCTCTTAAGAAGGAAACATGTCTCTCTATATCGCTATCTTTGCCCTATCTTTGTCGGCATCCATTCTCTCTGTTTATTCTATTTGAGTCTCTTTTCTTATCGGTTCATGTTACTTACTGAGCAGGATTACTAGGCATCTTTCGCTGATGGCTCGATGATAAGCCGGCCGCCGTGTGTTTGTGATTGTGTTGCGTGTTCAAGTCCATCTGAATACAGTGGCATCCCTTTTAAGACGGTCACATGTCTCTCTATATCGCTATCTTTGCCTTATTTTCGGTTTCTTAGTTTCCCTCCTTCGCTCTCAGTCCGACGTCTCCTTGCGTCTTTTCCGGAATGTTCTCTTGCCGTGTGCTCTCCGTTTGTCTCTCTCCCTCTGTCCTTTGGTCTCCCTGTCGCTCCCTGTCGCTCCCTGTTGCTCCCTGTTGCTCCCTGTTGCTCCCTCTCCCTTTTCCCCCCTCTCCCTTTCCCTCTTTCCTATTCTCTCCCTGTCTCTCTGTTTCTCCCTGCTGCTTCCTCTCTGCTGGTGTATCCCTCTCTCTCTCTCCCATTCTCGGTCACTCTTTGTCCTTCTCTCCCTTTTTCTCCCTCTTCCTCTCCCTTTATGCTGCTTTCCCTGTCTCTCCCTGTCGCTCCCTGTTGCCCCCTATCGGTCCCTCTCTCCCTTTTTCTCCTTCTCTCTCTCCCTCTTTCCTATTCTCTCCCTGTCTCCCTGTTTCTCCCTGCTTCTTCCTCTGTGCTGCTGTATCCCTTTCTCTCTCTCCCATTCTCGGTCCCTTGTCCGTCTCTCCCTTTTTCTCCCTCTCTTCCTCTCCCTTTATCCTTCTCTCCCTGTCTCTCCCTGTCTCTCTCCAGAAGGTTGCCATTTCCTTTTGGTTATATATCACGGCGGTCTCCCCGCTGCTGCACCGTACGTCCCTTAGTGATCTTTTTACCGGTTGTACGTTCTGGTCCTTGTGGTCTATTATTCTGGGAAGGTACCTGTCCCCTTCTTGGACACCTCTTACTGCTCGCCATCATGCTCATGAACATCTCCTCGTTCTACTCGGGGAGGGGGGGGGGGGGGGGGGGSGGGGGGGGGGTTGAGGGGAAGTGTGCTTCCCTGCTTCCATTTTCTGCGTTCGTCATTGAACTCCATTCCTGTGCGGCTATTTTCACCTGTCCTTGCTGTTGCACCTTGAGTGCGTTTTTTCCCGTTCGGCCTCCCCTCCCCTGCTCTATTCACTCTCATCTCGGCTCTCTTCGCTGCCCCGCCGTTTTTGTTTCCTTGTCCTTGTTTTGCTTTCTCTCATCCCTTTTTTTTCAACTTTTTTATTGCGCATCTTTTGCGCTATCTTCAGGGCTTTCGTGTATAGTCTGTACGAGTGCGTGAAACTAAGCGATCTGTAATTCATGGCGTCTTTTCTTCGTGTCTCGGCCCCAACTTCTTGGCATTACTGATGGCCGCCAGCTCTTCGGATCTTCTTTGCGACGTCGTTTTGTACAAACCCATGCCTGATTGGCCCTGTATTGAAAAGCACCGGTGTTTCCCATCCGTAGCTCGTCTTTCTAACGTGTTTGTTGTCTTTTTTCATGTTTACGTCTTGACATGCTCGCATAATCTCGTGTTGTAATCATTTGTAAGCGAAGAAGAAAAGCCAATTTAGTCTCTGTTTTCTTTGTCCATCTCATCCCTCTCTCTAAGTGAAGGGCTCTCTCTCTCTCTGTCTGAGTTATGCGATCCGATGTCTCTACAGGTGCCAATGGCTTCGGGATGGCCATTCTTCCGGTCGCACCTCGTAGTCTCTGTCCTCTCTGTCCATCTCATCCCTCTCTCTAAATGAACGGATCTCTCTCTCTCTCTCTCTTTCTCTCTGGTTTTCTCTCAGAGGGACTCTCTCTTTCTCTCTCGTTTTCTCTCTCTGAGTTACGCGATCCGATGTCTCTACAGGTGCCAATGGCTTCGGGATGGCCAGTCTTCCGGTCGCACCTCGGTACCCGTCTCTCTTCCCCAGAATAGAACGAACGGTCTGTAGAGTCTCTGTCCATCTCATCCCTTTCTCTCAATGACGGGTTCTCTCTCTCTCTCTCTCTCTCTCTCTCTCTCTGAGTTACGCGATCCGATGTCTCTATAGGTGCCAATGGCTTTGCGATGACCAGTCTTCTGATCGCACCACGGTACCCGTCTGTCTTCCCCGCAATAGAACATACGGTCATTGTATCCGTATTTGGCCCAACTTTCGGTCACTATGCAGCGAAAATGATCTGACTTTCTATTCGGGTGAAGAAGGTAGTTACGGAATTGTTTGATCCCTTTGGATGACGACATTCCACGTTTGTTCGCCCTCATGTTCTTTTTTTCTTCTAACATACCGTGTAGCTTTCGTGTCATCTTCTCATTTTGTTTCTGGTCCTTGTTCCCGGCTTATGTACATGATATTACTGTCTTATTTCCTCTTAGGCTTGAACAATTTTGCTCTCCAAGATCTCCTCACCTCCAGTCTTCCTTACCCCCATGAGACAGGAGAGCGCCGGAGAACCGCCGTCTTCATCCGAATAGAACGCCTGGTCATTACAGCTGTGCTTGGGGCAACTCTCAGTCCAGATGCAGCGATAATGACCGGGCGTTCTACTCGGCGTTCTATTCGGGTTCAAGACGTTAGTGCTGCAGCAACGGGACGTGATGTACTGAGTCTGGGGGAGATATATGTGTGTTACACACACACACAGAGAGAGAGAGAGAGAGAGAGAGAGAGAGAGAGAGAGAGAGAGAGAGAGAGAGAGAGAGAGTGATATGTTGTATGGGTTTGTCGTTTCACAACCGTGTTTGTGCAGCTGCGCGAACAGCAATTTTGCGAGGAGAACGGAGTGCAATAAGTGTGGTGCGCCCAGACCAGCGGGAGCTGGCGGGGGCAGCGGAGGCGGAAGTGGTTCTGGACGAGGTGGTGGTGGCGGTTACGACGATAGACGCGGTGGTGGTGCTGGTGGTCAAAGGGGCGAAGACTGGACCTGTCCGAATCCCAGGTGAGTGTGCGGAGTTGTATGAAAACCTCCTCGTTCTCCTTCGTGGGACATCTTGTTTGTGCAAGATATATCTCGGTGAAGCGAAATCAGTTTAGTCGATGACCTTCTTCCTTCTCTGTTATCCTCCCTCCTCCATGCGATATTGTCTTTTGCAGTGCCCGGTCAAAAGTATCTGCATTTGGCCAGAAAGTTGCGCTGAATACAGCGACAATGCCTAGATGTCTCCGCCAGGCAATTAGACCAATCGAAGTTGAGTAAAAAAATAGCTCTCTCCATCTGCGCCATTGATGCGCTTTCTGGTGACGACGTTTGATATATACACAGTGTGACAATATATTTAAAATTGTTGTCTTCCTGTGCTTGTGAGAGGGAGGGATTGAGTGCATGAGGTGGTGAGTTGTTGTTTTTTTCTGTTTTTTTTTTTTTTTTTTTTTTTTTTAGGTTGTGAGTTATTTTTTTTGGGGGGGGGTGAGTTTTTCTTTGTCTGATTGGTGTCATGGTGTGGACGGGTGTGATGCGCTCGTGCACTGGTTGGCTGTCGTCGTGTGATGTTTCTGCAGTTGTAATAACTTGAACTTTGCAAGGAGAACAGAGTGCAACAAGTGCCGGACGCCAAAACCGCAGGGCAGCGGAGGATCAGGTGACGCATACTCTGGTGGAGGAGGAGGTAGGTACGAAGACCGTGGAGGATATGGTGGTGGTGGGAGGGGAGGGGATCGTGTCAGTGGCTTCAGCGATTCGTCGCGTAATGGTTATGCCGATGGTCGCGGGCAAGGTGGAGAAGGATATGGTGCGCCGCGCACAGATACGAGTTCTGGGTATGGTAGTGACCATAGGGGTGGGAGCGATCATAGGAGTGGGGGAAGTAGCGAGTACAAGAGTAGCGGGCCCGCAGGGGATTATAAAAGTAGTGGAGGGGATAACACCAGAAGCGG